GAAAACGTAGCGGACAATGCAGCGAAAAATGTGACGAAAAATGTAGCGGGAAATGTTGCGGTAAATTCAACGGACAATGCAGCGAAAAATGTAGCGGAAAATGTTGCGGTAAATTCAACAGTCAATGTAGCGGATAATGTTGCAGTAATTGCAGCAAACAATGTAGCGGTCAATGGAGCGGAAAAGGTAGCGGACAATGTAGCGGTCAACATAGCGAACGGTTCAGACAGCAATGCAAATTACAGCGTAGATGGTGAGTTTGGCATACAAATGCACACAAGCCGTGAAGTAGATGACCGGCGTCGACAAATTAACAGCGGNTCAATGGAGCGGAAAAGGTAGCGAACAATGTAGCGGTCAACATAGCGAACGGTTCCGACAGCAATGCAAATTACAGCGTAGATGGTGAGTTTGGCGTACAAATGCACACAAGCCGTGAAGTAGATGACCGGCGTCGACAAATTAACAGCGGGGCCAATGCCGAGTCAGAAAATCTCAAAGTGAAGTTGCTGGAGAAAGAAATCGAAATGTTGAGGCTGAAGCTGGCAATAGAAGAGCAAAAAAATACGCACACTGTAGCTAAAGAATTTCCCTTCGATACAATAAAGCAACTGGTGTCGGATTATTATGGTAGCGAAAATTTTGAGATGTGGCGTGCCCAAGTGGTGCACCTGCTAGAGGACCTGAAAGTAAACAAAGAAACGCTAGCTTTAGTAGTACAGCTGAAGTTGAAAGGTGCGGCCGCAACGTGGTATAACACCAACAAGATGTTTTTAAGGAGTCTAGATGCCGTGCTTAAAGAGATGACTGCAATATTTGCACGTAGTGACAATCTTCTGGTTACGCGACGCCGTTTCGAAAAACGCAGCTGGAGTTATGAAGAGTCGTTTGCTAACTATTTCAATGAAAAGTGTTTGCTAAGCAGCGGTTTGAACCTGGTCGACACGGAGCTAGTCGAATATATAATCGACGGTATCCCAGATAAGCAGTTACAGGTCCAGGCGAAACTGCAAAATTTCCCAACAGCCAGCAGCTTGGTGAAGGCGTTTCGTACAATTGAGTAGCCGCAACGTTCATCTCCAAGGCCCAGCGAGGACAGAGTCAGGTGTTACAACTGCAACAGTTACGGCCATTTATCGAGAGAGTGCAGAAAAGCAAAGCGCGAATTAGGTACCTGTTTTGCTT